CTACTCAAATGAACCAAGTACTGTTTTAATAGTGAACATTTTTTGTTCGTGTACAGTTATTCTAACGAGCTGACATGTAATCAATAGGGTTTTCAAAGGCTTTGCCTATTATCCTTACCAAATAAACTGAATAAACTGAAGTAAGAATATGTTGAAAGCCTTGTTCAGTTGTCTAGATAATTAAATATCTCAGAGAATACCATAGATTTCTAAAACATGCAGCGTGAAGATGAATAATCACTCGACAGTAATGAAAGGATGTAACAAATATTTCACTGGACGACATAAGACAAGTTTTAAATAGGGAAGAATACGACCCAACCGGTATGCAGGTGAAATAAAGATCCATTAACAGGAAATATTTGTTTTCAAGATCGGGCTCGGTAACGGTAGAGTGTGGGACCCAAACTAACTTAAGATAACGTGTGGACCGTTTCGTATACAACTACTACATAGGATCCTGAACCCTACTGCTACCTCTTCTTGAATTCCCGACTGAATGCAAACTTACCAGGGGCATTAAATCCAAATTCCGCGTGTTTTTGAAACTGGTTTTTTGTCTGGTTTTTTAAGTAATCGTGTTCACTTTCGTTGACATATGACAGCATGAGATAAGACTTTCGATAGAACTCCAATTACTTTCCGTATTCTCTTGCATCCCGCTGCTCTCTGTCCTTCGCTTTACCCCACCTGTAAAACTCCCTCTACCACAATTCCCGTAATGTCACGGCTCACTGGCTAGTTGGGGTCTTACACCCTACTGTTGCCTCGGGCTTGACAACAGTGAAGGTAATGTTGCCACGCTATCAGTTTTGGGCAATCGGACGTGTAAAGTGCCGGGAAGCACGAAACACGAGATACCAAAAGCGAATGTACGGATTCTAGGTGAGTGTATGGGCGAGGAAGAAGAGGGCTGATCAAGCTCCGGAACCATTTCCTTTCCGACATTTCGAGCTCAAGCAGGAGTCCATCATTAGAATTAAAATCAGCAGTCGAACAAGCGGCAGTTATAGGGGAGTATTAGTCGATCAGCGACCAAGAACGCAGGCGTGGAGTTGACTGCGCAGAGCTCTCTATGCCAACGCCACATCGATGTAGCGATTGGTTGGGTTCAGAGGGCAGGCTCTAGTCAATTCCCGGCTCCTCATGCTTCCAGCGTGGACGATTATCTTGGTGAGTGCGAAATTAAATTCGCAATTCTTATCGACGGTGTGGGCGGCGACTTGTGATGATTCTCCAGAGTTAATTATCCTCTTACTTGATTGTGATGCAGACCGCTTCAGTAGGACAGTCAGCGAGAATATTTCAAGATAGTTTTTCCATATTCGGGAGTTCATTCCAGAACGAAATCTTTTTCCGGAAGTAGGCTCACCTTCAGAACCCGGCCACGACAAGGGTACACATGAGTCACCGAAGTAACTTGTGTGGTCCAAACGTTGACACGAACATTGATTACGCCAATTTCAACGTTTCTCGAAAGAATGATGGATTCATTTTCAACTCCTCTTTTCCGGACCAACCGAAAGAATTGTAGTCATTTCGTCGACTCACCAGAGGTTAAGACTCTTGTTGGGTGGGCGGAGAGCAAACTCATCGATAATAAGGATGGACAAATCAGCAGGTAGTATGATGATTCTGAGAATGGCAGCAGGTAGCTAAGTAAGCAGCAAGAGCTAAATATACCTGTGAGTTGACTTGTCAGCAGGGTCCCAGTCTTAAAACAAACCATTGCGACTACGAGAATACCCGACTCATGCTTGGCGCTCGCAAATAAATGGCCAGTTTAAACTAAATGCCCGATTAGGTGTTGTGTGCCAACTGAGCAAGAGAATGAATATATTTATGCATGGTTATCATAAATCATAATTGCATTTTTAAGGACACGGAAAATCAATGAGAAAAATGCATGCTACACATGCAGTCATTTTTTACGGAGTATAGATTTCGCATGCAGTCGGGAAGTTCGTTCGAAAGCCGGCATCCTGAGGCAACTGAAGTATCATGGAACTATGCTGCATGATTAGTTTTAGAACCCTGCTTAGTTAATCTTCCTGAAACGAGAGCACATTTCGGAATTTCGGTTGACATTTTATGAGTTAACCCAGCTACTGTACGTAGCTCTAAGCGGTTACCTCTGGATCTGTTACAATTGCTGCCGATTGGCTAGATCGATTTAAGATTACCGTCTACTTTCCCATCACTCTCGTGTTCGTTGGATTTTATCACAAGTTCGGTCCCCTTACTGATTAAATATTTAGCAATTTTTAAAGTCGACGGAAAAAAATTTGCCCTATTAACCTTGCATTATATGCGTTATCCTGCCGCAGTAAGTACTGGAAAGCATCTGCTGTCCGAGCGATCTTAGCTCTTAAAAGTGAAGTTAGTCTCACTTCTATACGCTGCTAGTGTGGACCTTTCGAACCCTAGACGTGAACGTTAGTAGCAGGTAATAAAAGCGAAGAGGGTAGTTCCAGGAAGTGGTCGCGAAGGAGACACTCCAAAAATTCTGTCTCAAAACGCACTTCATGTTTGACGGGACGATCTACGAGCAGGTAGAAGGCACGCTAGCGTGTTCACCGATTTCGGGACTTATAGCCGAGACGGTTCTGCAGCGGTTGGAGTGGCTGGTTTTCTGACACTACAGACCGGAATTCTGGACTCCGTGTGTGGATGATACATTCATCGTCATCGAACGGGATCAGGTGCTGGAATTTAAAGAACACCATGACACCGTCTTCCTGGGCATATAATTTGCGACGGAGGAAGAGGAAAAGAACCAGCTGGCCTTAGTTGATGCCCTCGTCTGCAGTGAAGATTGTGGTGGCCTAAAAACCAATTCAGGAAGGCGACAAACACGACGCAAGTTGTTACGGAGACGGGACCACAATGGAAAGAGCACGTGACTGCGCGCGCAGCAGCAGGCCAAGCTGGTTGGGAAGTGCACGCGCGAAGCCAGCCAATCAGCACACGCCGCTGTATCGAGCACGAGTGGAGCCCTTGTTCGCGCGTGCGACCCAAATATTCGAGATTCTGCGAGGGGTTTCCAGCATGAGAAAGGCCAATCAACGAACAACACGCCACAGGGCAGAATATTCCAGAATTCCCACCGCGATTGACACGCCACTGGCCGGCAGGTTCGCGAACGGCCAGAACTCCAGTAAATAGGCGAAGGGGGCGCAGCAAGTGACCTAGTAAGAAGACGTCCGAAGATAGCGATCACTAGCGCCGTCCCTGCGGCGAACTTACGTGTACGTTTCACGAACTCTCCCCTCCTACGCTTGGGAGATAAAGACCAACTCCTGTTGCAGGCCACATTGATGCGTATTTAGTCATTCATTTGCTTCTGTGGAGCGGGATACATTGGCCGTACGAGGCGCCTGGAAAAGAGAGTGCGTGAACACATACCGGCCTGGCAGTGGTGTGTGCAAAAACTTACCCGACGTACAAACATTACTCATAGCCTATGTCCCCCTCTCCCTCGCCCCCTTGACCCAATGACCACGACACGCCACGTCATGCGAGTGGCGTGGGAACGATGGATGCTAATAGTCCCTGAATCACTTATGAGCCCTGTACCTTCGCATAACTTAAACTTCTATGTACCCGTTTTGACCTGATGAAGAGTTACCGAAAACACGTGTTTGCCAAATTGACTTTTCCAATAGGTGAAAGTTGGTGAGCTAAGGTATCCGCTGTCTTCCGCCGACCGAGAACAAATTGTTTCCAGAATCCGCCTTCGCTTCCTTTCAATCACACCCCTCGGTACGGAGCACAAGTACTAAGCAACCACAAACTCAGTGGCATAAAGGCACTACACCAGCGTGTGAAGACACCGTAGCAAGCCGGAAGTCAAGGTTGCTGAATTAAAATATTTTCGACGGGTGCTTAGGGTGAATGGCTACCTGCGCAACCTCATTAAGCATTGCCTGTGCAAACGAGACGAGAGACCAAATCCTACGAGTCCTACATTTTAGTGAGCTCTCCCGTACGTGAAGAATGTCTCGGAAGCCGTCAACTGCCAGCTTACGGTCCTTGGAATGGAGTTGCACAGAGACCGGTGGCAGTCATAAGGCCGAAAGACCCACTGCCGCGGCAAGAGACATCTGGAGTCGTTTACCGGATCTGGTGCAGTTGTGGACAAAGCAAACAATGTCGGAAAAACCGGGCGACTACTCAGAAGTCGCGGCTCATTCGACGCGACCCAACCACACATTCAGGTTTGACGAAGCAGAAATTCTTGCTAAAGGCCACCACCGCATAAGCCGCGAACTGCTCGAGTTATGGTTTTCCGGTCCTCCATCAATCAACGAGCGCACCGACCTCCCCGCTCAATATTCGGCACTGAGACTTTGCCTAGAGAAAATAGTTAGCTTCGCAGAGAGCGTACCCATGGGAACTATTCCTGGTGCGAATGTCGGCGAGCCAAATTGCCCAAGACTCCACACTGATGACGAAATCCGGTAGTCAGCAAGTCGGCTGTTTACGATGAGCATGGGAGCCGGTAATTCCGACCGGCACACGGCAACTGCAAAACCTGGTCACTCAAACCGCCATGCACTCAGGAGTTGCCAACTGTGATAGGCATGCAGCGGCCTATGAGCTACATCCCACAAATACTGCAACAGCTGGACAAGCCAGTAGCATTATCGAGCTCTTTCTCTGAGGATGGATTCAAGCGAGAGGCTGAAACGTCAGGCTAATTAAACTTCTGTTCCAGCGACCATGCTCCCTTCTTCGTTGATTGTAAGTCTCATCGATGCCACAGGCGATGCAAACCAAGACAAAGGCAGGCGATTGCAGATGTCTTTCACCTACTGCTGATTGGCAGCATGTTTCGGCCCTTTCTCCTCAGGAACATTTAGGTCTGCGATCTAGAGCTTAAACACCCAGCTGATAAAATGTCTACGGGCATTAGGATCCAACCAATACCGTCGTTCAGTAGGGCAGATACTGTAGGTTCTGGAAAATGGGCAAGTTTTAAAAATCCGACTAGCTAGGCCAATGATCGCATCTGAGCGAGAAGCAAAATGCACCACGCACGAGTTGAGCAAATCCAGAAGCCAGGTCGGCACAAGTCGGCAAAATTGTTCAGCGCTGACGGAAAGCCTAAGCAAAAGATCGGCAGTCGGAACACTTCTCCATTACAGATTTAAGTCTTGCTGGCGATTTGCTTTCTCATGATGAATGACCTGGTCGGATCCACTGGTGGTTTCTCGACGTGTGGTCAGTCGATTAGCACTCGCGGCTTTGTTGGACTATCCCGCACTGCCGGACCACGAGAAACGTAACGGGAGCCGATATTAGCTGCAAAAGCTGTCTGAAAGAAGCTACAACACGATGCATTAAAATATTGTGACTAATCATGATAGAAAAAGTTTACAAACACCGACTTTAAGTGATCAAGAAAACTAGATAATCCAACTGGGACACAAATACACAATGCAAAACCGGACGGGGTAAGAAAGACGAGATTGAAACGCAAGCAGTATAACCATGGACAACAGAAGTCAGGAATGTTTCTTCGAGGTGACATCTTTCACCTCAGACAGGATTGAAGAATTCGACAGACTGGAATGACCGCAGCTACTGGCAGCTGAAGCAAATGGCGCGTTGGGGCGTTTTTTTGATTTCCCATAGACCTGATCGGCGAGTAGGCCGGCGAAGACGAGTGCTGCCCCGAGCATTTGGAGACGAGAAAGAGCGTGGCCGAAAATGATTACTGAGGCCAGGACGGTGAAGAACTTGCGTGTTGTTGTGATAATGGAGCACATCAAAGGACCGAAGTTGACAATCGTGGTGTAGATGAACATCTAGTGGTACCGGTGAAGATGTGAATGATGGAAAGGTTATATGTTTTCTATCCAGCGTTTAAGTCAGACTGGCAAGCCATTTGAAGCAGTAAAAGATTACATGCAGTAGATGTGCTAACTCATGAAATGTCAACCAAAATTTCGAAATGCGTTCTCGTTTCGAAAAGATAAATTAAGTAGTGTTGTACAACTAATCAGGATGCAGCAAAAGTCTATAATGATCCAGTTACCTCAGGGTGTCGGCTTTCGAAAGAATTTATTTTCGGCTGCAAGCAAGATCTACACTCTGCAAAAAATGACTACTTAAGTAGTATGAAATTTTCTCATTTATTTTCAATGCCCTCGAAAATTCAATTATATTTCATAGAAAACATGCGTAAAAATATTTATTCTTTTACTTATTCAGTAGAACGTCACATCTTCTTCTGATTACATACTCAAAAAAGAGTATAATTCGGTTTTGAAAAAGTTTTCTAATTCCCGAATAATATTGAACCCGACCTGCTGATACACTTGCATTTAGAGTTTCAAAACTACGAGCTGTATATTTTCCGTGTACGGAAAACCATGCATATTTCTAAGGTGTTTAGAGGAGACCATATGAGGTTCATAAAATTCAGCAGTGGAGTTGAGCAATATTGTTAACTCTACAAGCCACATTCGTAAATGCAGATACATGACGTTTCATGAACGGCCATTTAACGGTATTAAAAAATCTCACAATTAGAAACTTTTTTAAAACCGAATTATACTCTTCTTTTGAGTATGAAATTGGAAGAAGACGCGATTTCCTACCGAATAAGTAAAAGAATGAATATTTTTATGCATGTTTTCCATTAAATATAATTGAATTTTCGAGGACATCAAAAATAAACGAGAAAACTGCATTCTACTTAAGTAGTCATTTTTTGCAGAGTTTAGATCTTGCTTGCAGCCGAAGATAAGTTCTTTCGAAAGCCGACACCCTGAGGTAACTGGATCATTATAGACTTTTGCTGCATCCTGATTAGTTGTACAACACTACTTAATTTATCTTTTCGAAACGAGAACGCATTTCGAAATTTTGGTTGACATTTCATGAGTTAGCACATCTACTGTACAAAGGCAAACAGCCAGTCGAATTAGCCGTAATTTATACGCTCAAATTACAATCTCACCTGGCCAATAGCACTGACGATTCCAAAGAGGAGGATATTCACAGCGGCGTTGGGGAAGTGACGTACGAAAGCAACGAAGGGCATAACTTCGCCCGTGAGAAGAATGACTGTTAAAGGTAGGAAGGAAAGATGAATGGGTTCGCTCAAATAAAATACCACATAGTGCGGAAGAATTAGCAAAATGCCGACATATATCTTTCATTAGAAACTATTGCTTGGGTGGGATTGTGATATACGTAATCGCAGAATATAATATCAGAGCACGTCACATGAGTGTGTCCAACGAAATGAAGACTATAATTTTCAGAACTGAGAGGTGGAACTTGTGTGCGATTAATACCCCAGAGAGACGTTAGTACCCAGTCGATGCCATGCATTTGTTCGACCCCGGTATAGAACTGACACAAAGCAGACCATTATGGGGGTCCAGGGTATGAGCGCGCGCATACACACGCTCGAGTCACTGAAGGTATGCAAAGTACGGTGCTGCAAAGTACACGCAGTGGCCCTCTCACATATTTAACTAAGGGCGTCGTCTAAAAGAAGATGTGCTTGACGTTTCGGATTCCCACTCAAACTCAATAGAGCTGCCTGAGTCATGGTTCTCCAGCCCTCAGTCAAGTCACAAAAACAATGACCTATTGTCGCCATATTCAGGGCAGAGTCATTGGACACGCAGGGAGGGCGCGGGCGACTGTCAGCTCGAGCGACAGCAAACGGAACTGCAGAGTAGCCGTCGCGGCTCCCGCAGATTTATTTCTGAAGACTGTAGTACGAGTTTTGTGGTCTGTCCTGCGTCCGTAGAGCATCAATGCTAGGACGTCGTATAGAAGAACCGTGTCCTTGAAAGCAAATACCTGAGAAGAAGTCATTATTTGTAAGAACAATTGAGAAACTTTTAAAACTCATGATTTGCAAGTCACGTGAACCTTCTAGCAAGTAATGGCAGGTGATTTAAGCATTTTCAGCATCCTAGGGACGTTAAAATCTTTACCTGCAACATCAAGAAGAGACATTTTTGTTTTTTGAAACAAAAACAAGCGATTATAACAAGAATTTTATGAGCGGCGTAAAAGTAGTTGACTTTGCACAGAAAACTGCCGGATATTACGTAAAAAGCGGTTAGTCTACAATTAAAATTGACATGTGGTTGGGGGACACTTTTTCAAATTTACTCAACGACCCCGTTAACTCATGGCATGCCTTTTATTGTTCGGCAGGGCGATATCGTTAGGATCCCGGTCACGTCGGAATGGCGTATGACATTTAAGAGCCTACCAGGTAAACAGTTTCCGTGGTTGGCACTACTAATACCCTACCGACGTATAACTTTCCCCTGGGGGGGGGGGTATAGCTAGGAATTTGTATCACTAATTCGTCAGGTCCAGGCCATATAGCAGCAGAAGCCGAATAACAAGTTCCAATCAGATGCATGTGACAAAATGTTTTGGAGAGGCAAGTGACAAGGGAGGAAAGTTGGATGGTGAGAAACCAACCTAGGCCGAGGTAAAGTAGCGACCACAAATTCAGGTTGCGCATCATAGTGTAGGGACCAACATGTCCCCTGGAACGAAAATCCTCCTGCATCCCTCCGGTAAGACCATCAAGACCAAGAGAAACAAGCTACAAGTGAAAAAACGACCTAGTTATTCGTTAGATTGGGGGAAAGGTCAACTACAATGGGCAGGAGGATACACAGTCGATTTGAATCGAGGGGAAAAGAATTATTGGGGTCCATGAACTTGCAATGCTTAAGGCAACCAGCGAGTGCTGGCATTCGCGAAGACGCAATAAGAATAAGATAGGAAATAAGACCGATAAAAGAGGATAATAACCTACCAAAAGCAGTTCACCCCAGCCAAAATTAGCCTTCGACTGGACTGAAGTGCCCTCCTTATACATAAACAGGATGACTCCAGTTGTGATTAGTCCAACGAAGATGTACTTTTTCAGTGGGTAACGCTGCTTTGCCCAAAGAACACTCAGCAGCATAACTGGAATTGGTTTAATGGATTTCCCAATAACCTGTAGAGGGCTAATTCGACAAAACATGAGTGCTCTTGCCTGAGTAGGGTAGCTGACAAAACGCAGACTCGCATTGCTGCTGAACATGGCGCCGATGTAGCTGAGTCCACAAAGAGCATAATTCTTTTGAGACATCGAAGACCTTCGTTCGCGCCAATGCCGAAGAGCTAAGTACGGCTACATAGAACTCACTGGAAATCGACTTACCAGCCTGGGCGAATAAGGCATTGATTAAACACTGCACAAACAACATGGGTTTTATAAATGTGAACTCTATTCGGTGGATTCCATATCGAGTTTTAGTGCTGCAGAAGGGATTACACACGGGGAAAAATCACCCTACATCGCCTCTTGTAGAAGTCCATAGACGAAGTACGAAAAGAAGACGCCAAGCGCACAGAATATCAAAAATGCCAGTGATTCTGAACGCCGATCCATCTCCCTCAGAAGAAATTATGATATCTACGCGAGAATACACAAAACATGAACATATACAACTATGAATTGATTGTGGTGAGCGCAAAATATAAGATTTCAGATCAGAAAGGAGGCACGGGCAAGTAACATTAGGGTTAAGGACCATAAAAACGTAGAAATTATACGGAAGGTAAATGGGCATCTTGAAGGGGGACTAGATGTAAGAGATAATAAAGTGAATTTAAAAGGATGAGCGAGAATGCTTGTAACACAATGAAAGCGCCTTTTTGTGGAGGGTGTTTCATGAACTATAAGCGCGGCTGCAGAGACTTCCAGAAATAACAGTTACTAAAATATCACATAATACCTGCGTAAAGACAAGGAAAAAGTCTAAATGTGGAAGTATAGAAGTGCAAGTAGAATACTCATGCACTAAACACGGACAATCCTCGTCAGAGTGAGGGACAATGCACTATAAACCATGGATTTCTTAAAAGGTCGGGATTGAAATGGGTTGCGTTAAGGGTCAGAAACACCTCTGGGTAGCCAAATACGTAACTGCGACCCGATTTTAAGACAACACAAAACCCCAATATAACCTCAGTATGCTCCGGTATCCATTGCAGGGAGTTCGAGGACACACCCGATTTAACACAAAGTTGGAATAGAAGGACTATAAACAACAAGAGGGACTAAGGTCTACTGTTGCCTGAAACAGACGGAGAACCAAAATGATAAATTCGACATGCAAGGCGGGAGGTTTAAGAGAGCTGCTTGGAAATGGAAAGGACAAATAAAATTCGCTTTCGATTTCGGAATCAATCTGCTGGATGATGACTAGGATTGAGAACATCTAAGATACTTCTGTATACTTCCGACTGCAGACTGTCCTCAAGAACCCCAATCCCAACCGAAGTCGTCTCGTGGACGACAAACATCGGGTATGTATGTGCGCGTGGATTTAGCAAGAATATCTTCACAACGCAAAGTGACAGAGAGTTTTTCTGGGTGAAAAATTTGTCCGGTAGGAAAAGGCAGAGTTGGTTTTCGCTAAAAACGTTTGAAAGGACTGGGATTGGCAGCACGTGGCGAGCAGAAAGAAAAACATATATAGAACTATAGGAAAACAGCAAACTAGTCGTCCGAAACCTTGCAAGGCAAATTCTCTAAGACGTGATATTTATATGACAGTTTCGGATAAAATCTGTAAGAAAAGACTTAGCACAAGATTACCCGAAGGAGAAGACCAATGAGCGTCCAGTACGCGAATGAAGTCAAGTATTCAAACAGGCGCAACCACTTCAAACAATAGTGAAGGTTGTGCCCAAGGGCTCGCATTGATACGCGGCAATCGCGGATCTGCAATATTAAGTCACTTTCTTAAGACATGATTTTGAAACATACTGTTAAAGATCTCTGCAGATAATATGAACAAACGTTACAGTGGATTTCTTAGGGGAAATGCGGAAAAGTCACTCATAGAGCGGTGGAAGCAAATTGAGCAAGAACAACTACTTACATTGCCGTACAGGATGAGGAAATAAAAATGAAGTTTAAAAAGCATAACGAAAACATAGCAAAAGACAGTAACAAATTATACCAAGCCAAAGTGCATTCAGTCACTTGAAACCAAAATATTTTAATAGAGACTTTTCTTTGAGCACGCAAGAATATACCCAAGAAGTCAATGAACCGTAAAATGAAAAGAACATAAGGAAAGTTTTTGTATTTACTTGAATACATGATAATGCCGTGTATTAAGCGCATACACAGATTGAGGATTAAATGACTTACCTCCTGAGGAGTGTTCAAGAAAATTATGCAAATGAACATGGAAATCTTGAGAGTAGTTCTCCTCTTTTCTTCAATTTTGCTTCTACAAACGCAAGATATTTGCTGATTTCTGTGCATATGGCTACATAAGTACGTTCTTGATGAATACACAATTCAAAGGCGTCTTTCAGTAAGATCACGATCCTAAGTCGTGAGTATTCAAACGGTGAGCATTATTTTCAAGCAACCTCACAGGTCCGCGGTTTTGTTTTGCTATCTGGTAAGCAGTAAAAGTGTGGTAGGTCATATCGTGCATCTCGCATAGATGGTTCCTACTTTGTGTGACCTCAATCAGGCAATTTAATCTCCCCTGCGAACCACCGAAGCCAGGCCACTCGTCCAAATGCCCTGTGCGGGACAAAAACCCGACGACTCTATCCGATGCGGCGTTTGTCCCCACTCCGAGTAGTTCTGCATCTAATTCAATTCAATTCAATTATTTTATTAAAGACCCGTCGGGGTCCCATCGAAGCAAGTAAAAATAAATTTACATGCAAATTTTAGACGATGTAGGCAAAATCTGCACAAAGTGCAATGCATAGTTTTTGAGATTAGAAGTCCGTTAAGCAAAATGAAAATGAAAAAAAAAACGAGGGGTGAAAAAAAAAACTCCAAAGCAAGATTTAAAAATGATTGTAGTAATTTACAAGGAGAAAAAAATACCCCTCAGAAAAATAGCATCAGAAAAAAAGGGAGGACTGGCCTGCATGTGGCGGTACAAAATGGAATAAAGCCCGACATCAACATGGCCGAAATAGATGTCAGCTGTATATGGCATTGTGTAACGGATTTCATAAAATGGTACGTAGGCGGGTCGGTCAGGACTGGCCTGTATCGCCTTGAATAAGAAAAATAAGTGCCGAAATTGAAAACCAGTCTCAAGCCGATAGGAACCCAGATGCGGTCAGTTTCATTCAACCGAGTCCATCCGAACATGGGGGGAAGGGAGATGCGACCAGACTACTAGTATATGGCGAATATAGAAGGCTTTGACAAGACCGCCGATGGAGCGCATTCTGTAAGGGCATGATGACAACCAGTCTCGAGGCGACAAGAACCCAGATGCGGTCGGTTTCATTCAACCGAGTCCATCCGAACATGGGGGGAAGGGAGATGCGACCAAAATACTAGTATATGGCGAATACAGAAGGCTTTGTCAAGATCGCCGATGGAGCGCATTCTGTAAGGGCACGATGACAACCAGTCTCGAGGCGAAAAGGCCCCAGATGCGGTCTTTCTGTTGTTCTCCTTGCATCTCCCCGGAGGAAAGTCCGACGCATTGGGCGACATTCAGTGCTCTGCGTTGGATAAGCCAACTCTGATGGCCCTCCACTAAACATAGCCGCCCTCCATGATGGAGTTCCGTAGTCGCCTTGAAAGAATTAGTAGCCATATTTAGGAATGACACTGCTTTCCACTCCCTCCTCCCATCGCGCAGCGGTTTGGAAAGGTATCCTAACCAAATGTGGGCAAATTTTGACACCTGAATGCATGTCGTGGACTGTAGGTATAACAATTAAAATTAGCAATTAGTAAAAGTTGGCGAAAGTTACAGTCGAAAAAACATAACTAACAACAACAACCCACCGCTCATCCCCTTCACTTAACCCCCAAAGGAACCGGAGCGAGTCTGCTCATTCTATTTCTAATTAGACAATTTGGGGAGTAACTGTCCGGAAGTAGGAGCGGCCTTAATACCTCGAAAACTGTTGTTTTACCGAGTGACACCCATGGCCGGTTAAACTAAAAACAATTTCTTTAGCCAGCAGCGACAGCAGTTCTTCAGTGCTTCTATTTGCTCCAGTCCCAAATCCATGAAAAGAAATGACGACTGAAAATATCCGATGCACTGTTACCCCTCACTTTATTTCCATGGGTAGCAGTTTTTTTCTCCTGGACCCCTTAAATATAAAAAACCACCTCTACCTTTATTTTTTACCTTTCTGTGTCAGGTGTTTTTTCACTGCTGCCCAGATGTGTGTTTAACTTCCCCTGACAATGCCTGCAAACTGCCATTAAATACGGTTATTATTATTATTATTTTTATTATTATTATTATTATGAACGTCGCTGCACTCAGCTAGACCCATTTCTTCGAACAGGGTCAACTGGGGAACGCGAGTAGCGGCCACATTTTCATTTGAGGTGACCGTGAAAAAGGCAGAGTGATATGACTGTAACGTCGTCTTTGCCATTCCTTACGACGTAGTGCGACGACCGCCCCACCAGCAGCTGGGAATCGCTAACAGTCTCATGGACCTTCATCTCCCTCTCCAGGGATATAATTTTGCCACCGTCGTCGGTGCATACGTGCACATCCAAATAATCGCCCCGACAAGGTGGGAGACAAGTTAAACCAAAAACACCACGCCCACCTGGCAAAAAATCCGAGAGCACACAACGGCTGAAAAGAGAACGGCCTCCTCATTCTGCGAATCGACGGGGCAGACTACCTCATTCTAGCCAACATCTTCCGCCTTTCAACGAGAAATAATAATAGTAGTACCAATAATTATAATAATAATTGTGTTTAATGCTAGGTTACAGGCGTTGCCAGGGGAAAACAACCTGGATGCCCTCCTGATCGCACCGCTGGTGGATTCTGTATGACTCTCTCATAAAAAAGTAAGATCCATAGGACGTGGTGGTGAAAAAGTTTATCTGCGTCGCCGATGGCTGGACGGATCACCTCCCCGTCATTTTTAGGACAAGACCCCGACTATTACCCGCTGGTAACCAAAAAGTAACCGACCACTAATTAAGTTAGAATTTGTACTCTGAAATGCGCCGACCCATTGCTTCGATTTCCGTGACCGATTGTCTCTGTGTCCGAATGATCTGCATGGTTCGGACGCGGAAACCACCGTTTGGATACGCTAGTGTCAACTGCAGAACGTCAACTACTTCAGCATCCTGGACATATTCGTTTGCGCGCGCTGTCAACACCAGGACAGGTCTTACGACAACGACCCATGAATCAGCATCTTACTCGTCAAGGTAAAGGAGCTGCAGCCGTCGGGTCGACGTGATTAAGACAGTATACGTCAAACGTTTCCGCCTTACGGAGCAACGGCCACGGGGGTGCAAAATGCGTGAACGGATGGGCAGGCGAGGAAATCGAGAATTGCGTAAACTGCAACGAAAAGAAAAATCCCTTTGTCTAAATCATGGAAGCCTACGGCCGCGCC